AAATCAGGTAAAATACCTTACTCTTTGTTATGTTACAAAAAGCAGGTAAAAGACCTTACTCTTTGTTATGTTACAAAGACCTGGCTTAAACCATCATGAGCACTTTAGCAAAGCAAACTTACAGTATCCTCAAAGCTAGATGTAGTCAATGCCTTAACATCAAATTGTTAGGGACAACAAATAAACTTTATTTTGTGACGAGAAGATCTGCACAATGAACTAACATTCAATTATTTTGGCAAGGGTTACATGTCGTGAGTTCTTTTTTTCCCCTACGTCATAATCACAGGCATCATATTTTTATCTTTTATTCTGACAGCAGCGCTGACAAAGGTGACGTACATCTCTTCTCCAAGTTGATAAAGTTTCAGCCAGAGCATTTTTGCTGCTGCTTTCAACCCAGAGAGATGCCTTTGGGTGTGGCTCGTCCCCTGAGTCCCTTTCATTGTCGATCGTGATAGCATAAAATATAAAACCCATTCTGTAAAGACAAATGTGAAACCACACATTGCAGCCCCACCCACCCATCACGACTATTAACATGCCATCTCTAGTGCTGTAAGGGTTTGTCTGATAGGTGTTTCTGAAGGTTAAGCAAACAAGGATCACTTTGATGCCATTTATTACTTTGAAGCCTGCAGCCAATGTATTTGTTTTATCAGTCAAGTTTATGATACTCTAGGCATCACATATAGTTTAGGGTCTACAGTCATGCTGATAAAACTTGTAAAGTCTGCCATTGTTTAGTGGATTCTATTGTTCTTGGAAACATGCTAACGCTAAATCAGCCCCATGTACACACTACAGAGGAAAGTGGCTGGTTTTAGAAATATTTCAATAGATCAGATTATTGTTCATATAATGAATTCATCAAACTGTTTGTGAGACAATGTGGTTAAGACACTGATGGTTTTATTCTACATATCTTTTATTGAGTCCAATAATCCAGTCCACTTAACCTTGTGTTATATCTCTTGGTATGGTAACCTTTCAGTGCACACTAAAAGTCGTCTGTCCAGTATTGTTAAAACAGCTAGTAAAATAACTGGCACACAGCAGCTTTCTTTTCTCAGATATCTGGTATTGACAAATTGTGAGGAAAGCAAAGTCAATCTTGGCCAGCTCTGACCATCCTCTCATGGAGAAATGTGGTCAGATCAGAGGTACAGGTCGACTAGGGCACAAATAATCGTATGTTCCTATTGCAATCAATGCACTTAATCTTCTTTAAACCATGACTGCACTTTTAATCAGCACTGTAGCTCTTTATTTATATTGCTACCATTCCAGTGTGTCCAGTTTTAACAAACAGTTAGGCTACATTTTTCTTTTTTCTTGGTTGTATTCCATCAGGTTGTGTTGCACTGCCCTAAGTCTTTTCATTTGTTATGTTTTTGTCCACTGCTGTAAATCAAATTCTGCCTTCCATGGGGACAATAAAGGTCTGCACTGAACTGAACTGAACTGTGGTGGACCATTGTACTCCCAACTGCACGCTGCCAGTATAGCTTAAAAAACACTATAGGCTACATAACATGCAATCCAACCACTACTGAGAACTTTTCCAACTCTGCATGCCAGCTCTTGAGACCACTCCAAATTGTTGAAGGCTCTTGAGCAGCAGTCTGCTGAACATTTCCATGTCTGTTTTCTGCTACACAAATGCCTGTCAGAGATCACTTCTTTTGATGCTTGTGGTGACTGGTTCAAAGAAACAACAGTTATAACAACAATGTTGGCTGACATGGTCCAGGCAGATGATTGATATCTAACATGAATCATGGAATTTGGGTATTTGGTCACTTGATTCAGGAATTCAAAGACCTCAGAGAAAGTCTGACATTCTGTTGTTAGAGGAGAGGCAAGGAATGTCGCAGAACTGTTCTTTATCAACGCATCAGAAGAGACAAATACCTCTTCGCATTCACAAGTCTGACAGGGAGCTTTTTTCCCTAAGGTCACTGACACTATTTTAGTTTCTTCATCATTTTTGTGTTCTGAAGTAAAAAATGAAACTGACCAGCACAGTCATTCCAGTGTCCCTGCAGTAAACCTGGACTCTTAGGGGGTCTTTAGGGGATTTCAGATGATTGTTTTGGTTCTGAAGCCCTCAACTATACAGATTGTCTCACCTTCCGTCACTGGAAGGTCTTTTGGATTTTTTTGAGCCGTAGTCTCCAACTGCTTTTAGTTTAAAGAATTCTGATAAACCAGAGGCAAGAAAGGTTGGCAACCAGCTTATGAACATATTGGAGTCACTCCAAAACAGAGCTGAACAATGTGGCTAATGCTAATTGTTCTTGGTCCTCTTGATGTGGAAGTTATCCAACTGTTGGGTAATAGAAGTTTTCAAATTTAATTGAAAAGTTGTGTGTTAGCCTTTTCTGCTGCCCAAAAATGACTGACTTAAATCAGCTATTGCTATCGACAAAACAAAACTGGTATGACATAAACTCATAACCTTCATGGTCAACCTTTTTTAACCTTAAGAAGGTTTCAAATTGAAACATACAGAGGCATAAACATGCTGTTTCACTATTTTAAGGTTTGCCAAGGCCAACGCTCATACTATGACTCAAGCACTCAGGCAGTTCAGGTGTTCTCCATGGAGACTGGAATGCATGAAACCTCTCACTGGACAACATGCCTTGGGAATAACTCAAGACCTCTGACGCAAAACTGCAAAGTAAACAGCGTCTTTTGTTACTGGACACCTGAGTTATCGCTGTTGAGTGTAAACAAAATGAAATAAAGTCCTTTTCCTTGGGAACGCTGATGATGCCAGTGTGTCATGACATGTAACCCTCCGGGAGAGGTGTGGCATAATGTGAGAAACAGCAAAAAAAATAAAACCAACCTTTATAAAGCTCCCTCTATACATATGTCACAAAGAGATTGATTCTGAGTCAAAAGACACAATAAAAATGGTTTATGTTACACAATCACACTGATAACTGCTAAGCAGCAGTATACTTTGTGTGACTTTAAAACCACTTGTCACACCCACTTCACTGAGGGTACAATTGTCCAACAGCCTGAGAACAAGATGAATCTTTATGATTTATTTGCGCTGACATTTACTCTGCCAGATTTAGGTTGGATCAATCAAAATCATTTATGTAATAAGTTGAAGACCATTACAACCAATGACTGACTGTACAGAGAAGTGCCATTGAGGCATTTTTATTGACAGTTAAGGTGTCTGTCGCTGATTGGTAATATTATCATATTCAATTCATATGAAATTAACTGAGTGGTAGTTCAACAGTTGATTGTGTTTTAGTGAGTACTTCTGTCGTACCCAATGTCAGTGTATTATGGTGAACCAAAATAGATGTCAACTGGATGTTTGGACCAGCTAACACATTAAGTCACAACTAAAATTGGAAGTTTAGAAATAACTGAGGAGCTCCAAAATCAATACCTGTGTTTGCAAATTGGTTTTGGAGATGCTAAGTTAACTATCTGCCAACATACTGGGGATGTGCCACTATAACCAGTATTAGCACTCAGGCATTTGGCTGTACTGTTGACTGTAAAAACAGCTTATGTTACACTCACAGATGTCACTTTTCACAGGTGGAAATTCTAACAGTTGGCTTCTTATGCCCTCACATAATGTCTGACATGCTAAACACTGGTTACTAAGCCAGAAGTGCCAGGCTGTTGCTAACAGTAAGCAAAGCTACATTCTCAAGCTACAGTCTAGTGGAAATAATGTATTGCCCAATGAGTATTAGGCATACTTTTACTACCACAGGAGTGGCTTAATGACACCAACACTTACAATACACAAGACGGGAATTGGAAAGTTGACCACTTACATACTGTGTATAAGTGTCATACTTCACTGGGATATTTTACTGTGAAGATGCACATAACCTGGATTTGCTTTCTCACAGTGCTTTTAGTTATAAGTTCATGAATCAGTTCCTGATTGCCATTCATTATATTTTGAGTGATTGATTGATTGCCTGAGTGATGTGTTGGAACTGAGTCAGTCAAATTGTCACACAAACACAATTAATGTGAATGCTGACTCATGATGAAAAATGTACTTTTATCTAAGCAGGTGACGGTTACATAAAGCCAGCATGTCTGCGTGATCAGAGATAACTGACTGACTGACTTGCATAGAAATAACTGGACTACCCCAAAACATAATTTAGATCATACACTCCATCTAATGGCCACTTACAGAACAGCAGGTAGATAGTTTTCAGGTGAGCTTGAGCCTCAGCAGTTAATATGGATACTAAATGAAAACTTTGCATGTGTAGAATGCTCATTAGACATTTTGTGAAAATGTGATCCACATTTTGAGTATGTCACTCAATGTGAGCATCATTGAGCTGTGAAGAAATATCTTTACCAGTTTCTACTACATTTTCACCAATGGATTATGCAGATCCCTTTAACTGGTAATGTTTTAGTTAGTGGTTTACACTCCGGTCAATATTTGATCAATACACAAAATCCACTTTTCAAACCTTATCTTAAGTTTGCAATCATGGGTTTGATAATGCAGGAAGCAAGATTCACACATACATGTTTATTCATAAAAATGTGATGGCTCATTTATCATTATTCAAGAAAAAAATAAAAATAAAACAACATAAAGACACACACACATAATGCACCAGTATATATCAAAATTAAAATATTGTAAATTATTAGAAGGTGTTAAAAATCTAATATATGGTCTGATAAGAGTCCAATATGAACAGCTTTCAGCCAGATTTCCACTTCTCACTATTTTCACCAGCATGCCTGAGCTTCACAGGGGTTTTCAGTTTTCCGATTTTACAGGTCAAACTCGAACTCACAGGATTAACTGGGATCCGTATGGCAGGTGAGATAATTCCTAACACCAGTTACCTGCACCACATGGAATGCTTGTAAATATACACATTTGAGACATGCCTAAAAACAACCTGATCTGCCTGCTCAACGAGGAAAATGGTGATTATTGTAGATTAAGAAACACAACCTCACACATATTAAGTACAAAACAATTTTTATTTCAAAACTCCCTCAGTTCAACTCCACAAACATGAAGAAAAACACATGACAATAGGCACCATGATAGAGTTTGCCTGATTTTTTTTTATCTCTCTGCATAGTCCTGATGATAAAAGATGCACCAAAGGAGGAGATGGCAGATATACAAATCTCCACTGAGTACAAGTGGAAAATGTAATGGCTTTGGTAATAGAAGGTTAAAATATTTATTTAAATAAAACTCTACATATTTCAAAAAGACACAAAAGCAGCGTTTAAAAACTCATGTCTATAGACAACCTTACACTTACTTTTATGAAATGCTCAAATATTAAAAAAATTAAACTAAATGAGGTGTATCTTTGATAAAAATGTACAACATACCAAAAGTGTTTATAAAGGCAAAACAATTTGATTAAAAACCTTCAAACCTCTAACTTAAATAGCTGACATAATTAAAACCCAAGGTGTCAGATTCATAAGAAACACAGTCTTGGCAGTAACAACATGGATGACATTAGTGATTTTCACCTGCAGGCTCCTGGTAACTGATGGCATCACTTTTGTGTCCAAGCCCGTTTCCACTGAACAAAACACAGTCCATTCCAGCCCACAGACTCGCCTTGTGCAGTACAAGGCTTGTACTGTAAGAAGAGGCGTTTTACTCAGCCGGCTGGTCCTTGTTTTTCTTGTTCAGTATTTTGCGGAGACTGTCAGGCATCAGGTAGGGCTTCTCTGCGCTGCCGTCGTTTCTCTCAAGATCCTCCACTGGAAAGAGATTCAATGAAATCAAACTTTATTTTTTACCCAAACATTTTGATGTACCATTATGTTTCTCTTCTTTTTTTTTTTTTTTTTTTTAAGTGTCAATGCAGAAATTAAGTAGACCAAAAAAAAAAAAAAAAAAAACATGCAAGCGCTCTTAAATGAGACAAGCGTCATAATGATAAATCTAAAAAAACAAAGTTAATTTATCTTTGCCATTTCCAGTTCTGTAAAGGGAAGTGTATTTTTTTTTACCAAATGTACATTGCCTTTAAAAACATTCACCCATTTTAAGAGTTAATCCTTCCTTTTATGACATGGAGACTAATTTCTTCAAATGCTGTTTATTAAACGAGCTACTCTACTATGAATACATACTGTACATTTGTAAAAGTCAAAAGTTCCAAATAACAGCAGCAATCCTAAGTAACATCATCAGAATCGAAACATATACATGATAAGCCGTTATGGCTTACTGGGAACAAAAGCTCAGTGCATTGATAGTGGGTCATACTAAAGAAGGAGCACTGATGATCATCGAGTCAGCATCAACTGTAAACTATGATGTACGTTTAGAAGTCAGGTTAAAGATGCTAACTGACCAACATAACACTGTTAAGAGGCACATCAGTGGCTTCAAGTATCTATTGGCGAGTGGCAGTGTGTGGAACTATTTAAACGCTAAAGACATTCTAGAAATGTGTTTTTACCAGAAAGAAAGTCTTTTCCACAAGTTCAAGACTTCTGTGAAACTGGTTGTTTCATGTTACTCTAATACATTACCAGAGGTGAAAAGCAGCAAATTACGTTTAATTGCTTTACTGTAATTGAGTAGTTCTTTTGTGTACTTGTACTTTTTAAGTAGTTTTAAAATCTGTAATTTGACTTTTACTTAAGTATTGTTCTTCGCTACATTTTAAATGACATCTGTTACTGAGTAAAAAAAAAAAAATGTAGGTCTATTAATTTCTTTAAACCTGAAGTTTCCCTCAAGATCCTGAAAAATACTGAAATGTTGACGCATTAGTGAGTACTCAAAACTTCTTGAAACTCTTCTTTTTGCACTGTAACTGTCCAAGCTTGGCAAACTACAGTTTAAATACTCACAGTTTCTTCATGTGGAAAAATCTAAGGTCTCAGTGCTTAATAAAGGTAACTACACAGCTTGTTATGTGTTGGTTAAGAGAATTTCTTAGCATCTTGTTCCCTGTTTCCTTGAGCCAAGAGATTCCAGGAAATTTGCAACACTCAGGTGCAATTCAAGAAACCACTGAATAAAACTGAGTCATTGCTATTTTAAGGCATTTTGTCTTGCAGTTGTTCTATAAACAACCTCTGCATGATGAATGGTTTTGACGCAAAGCTGAATTTCCCGACAGACAACAAAGCACCAGCTCCTTAACGTCATAACTTCAGTTAGTCTTTGAAACTAGCAAAGTGATGACACATTGGCAAACAGTGTCTTTTCCCCAAAAGTCCTCTTTCTTAAGCTGCATCCTCCTCCTGAGCCAGCTGCTGTTTGACTTTGTCGTCCTGTTCTTGAGCAGAAGACGAAGAGGGATCCTCAGCCTCATTCTTCCACAAAATCTCGTGAAGAGTGGAGGACATGTAATGAGGCCTTGCAGCTGACCCATCATTGCGCTCCAGGTCTTCACCTTATGTGTGTGTGTGTATTTGTGAGTGTTAATGGGTAGAACGGTAGATGAATATTGAAAAAAAAAGGGTCAGAAGAAAAGGTGTTATAGGAGCAGAAGAAACAAGGACGGGGAGGTGGTGAATTGTGGAGTGAGAGAAAAAGAAGGGAGAGACAAAGAAAAAAAAAAAAGGTCAAATAGCAAGCAAGCAAAGGCACCCACAGGCATTTTGAAAGTTAACAGTTCATCACAAAGCAGATTCACCAGATTAACATTCCTCTTTTTTCCATGCAGTTTAGAATTAGTGACAGCCCAACACCGAAAGCAAAGCAAGATTCAAGAAATGAAGAATGTTTTGATTCAGCTGGATTTGATTCAGCTTTGCGCTTTACATCAAGCCCTTTCGTCAATCCAGCATTTTGTTTGTCCGCACAGGTGTCAGGTAGACCGTGTTAAAGAAACAATGTCTGAGTAATGCATCATGTCAACAATGGCTGTGGAGGTGCTACTTACAGAAACAGAGGAAAAGAGTGTCCACACACATGGCGTACACACTGAAGAATCCATGGGCGATCAGATAGGAGCCAACCACCACCGTCTGGTGAGGATTACAAATGTATTTTATAATACACATACAGCAAACACACAAGTCTCTTTCATCATTGTTTCTACTGAGGTGAGAAGAACCATCAGACTCACCAAGATGGGCACCCAGTAGTAGTGGAGATGTGGAGCTGTATTTTCAAACGCCTTCACTCTGCCAGAGAAGAAGAAGAAGGCAAAGACCCCTGTGGAAGATAGAGCATAAAACTCATCCACCTTTCAACTCAATGATTTGTGACATGTTGGTAAAAAGCTACTCTGACTTCTTGAATAAATGTCCTCTGTAAAAAAGCCCACTGATATTTCAAAAGTGTCAGTGCTGAAAACTTGGCACATGTAGATGAGTTAGTTATGTGACATGTAGAAATTGTAAGTCACATTTTGTATTAACCCTTAAAACTCTACAATATAATCATTTTGCCTGAACATACGTTATTTCTTCCTCTTTGTAGGTTGTAACTCAAAACACCATGATAAAAATGTGAAGTCCTTCATAAACAGTACAAGCTGCTACCATCTAGTCGCAGATATACTTTGCCGAACAGATTTCAAGCAAACTGCCCGTCTACGATAATGAAGTTATCCTTGAATCTTACATTTGGCTAACTAACACACAAATCAAATGAATGAAACCCTTAAATCTGTAATTTAATTTAGGTTTCCAGCTATAATGAGGTTTTTATAAGATGACTGACCTTGAATAAGTTCATTATAAAAGGACCATTAAAAGGTTGAAGTTGAAACTTTTATGAAATGCTCAGTTTTTCTGAATCAATAACACAGCCAATACATTTAGATAATTGTGTTCTGAAGAGAAAAGTATGATTATAAATCCAACAATAATGTTAATCATCATCAGTTTGCAGCTATCATATAAATAATGAAGAAGAAAATCTTGTCTGGTAGACTCACCCACGAGCCCAACAATAAGCAGTTTGCCCAAAAACAAGAGGAAATCTGTCACTTTGTCCAAGACAGCAACCCTGTAGGATAAAAGATCATCATTTATTCTTTGTATGACTGCCATCAAATATGAATGATATGTTAAATTATCACATGGCAGGCAGTCTTTTGCAATCACCTTCACCATGTATACTCACCTGATCATGTTCCTCATGAGCAGGAAGAAGGCATCTTTAGCAGCGGTGCAAAAGTTTTTGCCATATATTGCCACCTAGAGGCCAAATACAGTCAATACATCAAATACTTCAGTATGAAAAATTAAGAATATATATGTATATTTTCACTGTACTTCCTCACTGAGGAAAAAACATGAAAAGCACAGAGATACATTACACACCATAATGTAGGCATTTCTGTTCAGGAACTTGATGCATTTCTCCAGACACCAGAAGCAGCACTTCAGACAGCACAGCAGAAACTTGGTGAACTTATTGTGGGCTCCTAAGAAAAATACAATCATTAATGGATTTTAAAAACTTAATCAACAGTGGAATTCAAATGCATTGAAATGTTTTTTAATCATGCAGCCTCTTGAAATACTTTTACTTTTGGGTTACTGAACAATAAGATTGTTACTGAAGACACTTCATCTCGAAAAGAATACTAGTAAATATAAAATGTGAGCCATAAAATTTAACATTTACATTTTTAGTAGCTTATTATTAGTTATCCAAAATAACCCCACTTAAGAAAGGGTTATTCACTTTTAAGCTGTATACAGAACTAGTTTAGCTATCATTGCTGAACAACTTATCCTCTTCTAATTAAAAAAAATAAAAATAAAGTAGTAGACCTTTAAGCTTGTGGTCCAGATACTCAAGCAAAACCCTGATGATCTGAATGATTGAGAGGATGAGTGAGCCAAACGCCAAAGTTCCTGTATGATACCTAAACAAGAGAAGAAGTGACTTTTAAACCAGGGCAATAAAAACAGCAACTAAAAGAAACCTACTGTTAAATAACATTAAACACACAAAAGAAGAAAATCCACTAATGTTAATGAGCTTAAAAATGTCTTCCACACACACACATACAAACCTAAGAGATCTTCCTAAGGAGGAGAACACAGGGAAGGCAGGCATGTCGTCTGGCTTTACGAAGGCCCAGTAATATGAAGAAAACGCTCCGGCCAGGGTCATCTGTCCCATAGCTGTGACGAAGTTGGCACACCAGAAGAAGAGGAAGACGTTGTAGAACTGCAAGCCGATCAGGTACTTGTGGTAAACAGTTTCTCCTCCGTAGAAGGCAAAAAGGCACTCGGAGTCAGGGCACTGATATTTCATGGGACTGGTGGTGAAGTTCTGAGCAGAGATACAGGTTATATAGAGATGTATTATACATACCATGGATTAAATATTACACAGAAATCCAACCATATATATCCACTTAATGTGAGCAGGGAATGGTTTGAAGAGGGTGGAATCAAACAAAGTCTTTAGTTTCATCAGATAAATGTGTCCACATGCACATTTAAAGTGAAGAGTTCAACAGGTCAGTATAAAAATACTTTATGAACAGTGATGTCTGAAAACTGTAGTAAGGTTTAGAAATGTTGTCTGAAGGTTCAAACAGCAAATGAAAAAAAATCAAATAAGAAAACTTACGGCAGGGTCGCAGGTTTTTCTTGAGTGTTCGCATTCTGTATCGTTAAAAACTTTGTAGATGGGTTCATTAGAGGTAGACAAGAAGCTGAACAGTGCTGTCAAGGACAATTATCAATTAATGAATCAATTTAACAACCTTGTTTTGTGTAAAGCAAATTCCTAACAAATATCCCCTCAAAGAATTTTACAAAAAGAGCAGGTCTAAATATTACTCTATTATTTAAAATGAATCCTCATTATTCTACCATGAACACAACACTAAGCAACATTCAGCAGAGTTACAGTGTCAAGAAAAAAAAAAAACGCCTTTTCAAGGTACCAGGAAGAAACGACGAGCAGAGCTGGACTCATGTTGAACAGCCATTTGCTGAAACTGTGTCGGGCTTAATCCAGTTGTCAAAACACCCACTTCACCATAATCCACTATTTATTGAGTTCTCAAGGAGACTGGAGGAGATTCTGCTGACGTCCAGAGTGAACATGGGCTGCAGAATTCACCAAACTTCACTAAAGAACTCTTAGCACAGAGTGACAAGAATGACAATTTAAAGGTAAGGGAACAAATAAAATAAAATGTGCCATATTTATCTGAAAGGAAATCTTTCTTTAATTTAGAAGTATAGTCTTACTGTTACAGTGAAGTGGATATTTATTTCACATAAAAAATGTGCAAACTCATTAGCATTGTTTAGTTGCTACATGAAGGTACAGACCCTGCACAACATGCATGTATTAACAAACTTTTTGATCTCCATTATCCATTAGAATAAATATTTCCAAATATGATACAAGGTCAGGAATTTCCAATTTAAAAGTGTTGAAGTCCTGTCTTAATGCTTTAATGACTTTCCATCTTTAGATTTTCATGTATGCTTTGAATTTCCCTCAGGATCAGTATCAAGTATCTCTTAAGAATGCCACAAGTCTGCAAGACCAGACATTTACATTGGGTCTCATACATCAAAGTAGTCATTCTCATATCAAAGAATTTGATGGTTAGCTCATAATTTTGTTACAACTCAAATAAGTCTACTTCCATAAACTTGAATCTAATGTTTATTTCCGAGGTGATGATGTCTTGTTTTGTTGCTGGTGTTTTTCTGTAATGAAATGTTTAATCTCATACGAGTGATTGAAAACAATCAATGGAAAACAGAACACTGAAATAGTTGAAATAACACATCTAAAACTTAAGAGCTGCTGGTGAAATGCCTAACTCCAGGTAACCCTCGATAACGACACAACAACATTGACTGACAGGAAGTTGAAAGGATACACAGCTGTTACAGCCCAGTAGGCAATCACCATGGCAAGGAGGACGAAAGTAAACAACGGGTAGAAGAGGGAGGACATGACATGTCCAATGGCCCTGTAAACACAACAAAAAGCAAAAGAAGAGAATCTTTCAGACTAATGACACATGCACAGATTAAGTCATCAAAATGTAACTCAGATCCTGACACTTAAATCATTTCACAGTCACTCATGCCAATTGATTTAAGTGAAAACAGTTTAACATCTTAATTTTCATTGATTTGTTTTGTCTCTTTTCGAAGTGCCCACAGCTCTAATGGAAGTCTGACCTGCTGGCTTCTTTGATGAGAGCAACAGCAATGAGGATCCTCTTCCTGAGGAAGATGAGCAGCAGGATGATGATGACCTCCACAATGGCCAGGATAATCACTGCAGGAGAAGTGTTGCAGAGAGAGAGAGAGAGAGAGAGAGAGAGGTCATATGGGTGTTTTACACACGTAGTTAGTTGAACACATAGATGGTGTGCTGTGTACTACTGACTGAAGGCCAGCCAGGTCTGTCTGATCTGCAGGTAGATTGTCAAGTCTGTCTGGAAGCCAAGTTCTTGTAGCGTCACATCAGCACCTGGCTCTTCTTTCAGGGCAGCGTACTCCATGTAACAGTGGAAGATACCTGAACAGTTTGCAAACAGGAAATATGAGCAATGGAATTTTTAATAATAAAAACGGCAGCCAGTTCAAGAAAACAGAGACAATATTTTTATGAAAAAAAAAAAGTATTTCAATCTCAGCCTTCAAGAAGACAGGGATCCTATTCTTTATCAGGGGTCCAGAAAGAAGATTCAGAGAACACTCTTGGGTTTGTTATAATTGAGTTAAGGACTTTTTCCTTTCAAGACACAAAAAAAGACTTTTCATTTGAATCAGTAAATGACTCTTTGTAACCTGATCAATGACAGGTGTTCTCAGAACAAAATGTAGTCTTTAACATTCTAGTAGCTCAGTGAATTTTCCTCGGTATAGGCAGAGGTCTGACATAAGGTAGACTTGTAATTTGACGTATCTTTTTTCCCCAATAATTTTTTGTAGACCAATGGTTATAGCAGAATACGATATATAGGCGCATGAGAACGTAGCCAAGGATCCCAGCAGAGTAAAGAAATGATTCAATGCTTACAGCCTGTCTGTATTTGATGTTGAGAACACAGAACTATTTAGAGGACATAGATCCTGTCAGCACGTCTGCTGAAATAGTCACAGCATCTTTCGGATTGTTTCTGAAGTTGTGGGATTAATTCAATAAAATGTAACTTAATTCCGCCATCAACATATTTCATACAGTGTCATGTGTGTGTTCTGTGTGTTCAGTGGCACAATGAAAAGCAGAGAAGTTAAAAACTGAAATCTGCAGTATAAATAGCAACATGCCCGCCTGCAGGTGCATCTGGCTTTAAAAAAGGGAGTGGGATCTAACGCTCTGATTGGTTTGATTCATGTTACACCCAAAACACGACTGTGTATAATCATCTTTGTGCTCTGCATCGCATAAATACCAAAATAAAGTCGGACACGCCCCAAAACGCTGTGCGCCAAACACACTTAACACCATCAAAACAGGGCCCTTAGTGTTTTTTTTAATGGAAATACACATATATATCAGTTCTGGAACAAACATAACATGCAGAGGGCCCTGACGTGCTGATCTACTTTGAGGTGAGGTGAAAAAGAGACTAACATGACTTTTCCCTTACCATATCCTATTACCAATATCACCAAGGCAACCATGATCCAGATCATGATCCCTGCCAAGAAGCGAAGGAGGACGATGAAGAGCAGGCTGGTGAGCATAGCGATAACCAACCCTCTAAAAGAGAAACAACATTTGGAGGAAGAGAAGGAGTACAGAAAGAGTGACTGATCCAGTTTGTTTGTAATGGAAGCTATCACTGCTCTAAGTGAGAAAAGTCGCAGGTTAACACGTGGGGAGTGACTTACAACAGGATCCAGTACCAGGACTGCGTGTAATCCTCAAAGATCTTCATGACCACCTGTCGAGCCTCAATAACCACAGTGGCATTCCTGTTGGAAATATTTCCGTGAGTTCGTCACTTTAAGCACTATGGGATAAGAAACCTATGAGGCAGACTGGGGACAGGCCAGGCCACAGCTATTTAAAAAGATGTGTCACACTTAACAGTATCATTATCTGTTAGCAGAATTCTAATGAGCTTACTCACTTGACTCCATCCATAAGATCCTTTGCATCTCGAATTGTTCCGCTTCCATCATCAAAGTGAGAGCTGTTTCCCACGGTAATCACCCCTCCTTTCTGTCCCAATGCTGGGAAACACCTGCGAGTGACTGAAGGAAGGCAAAGTACACATGAACACTTCAGAATCACTTTCTGCAATGCAATGATATATTTGGGGAAGAGTTTTTTTCTTAATACATAGACAGATGTAACTCACAGGGTTTGCTGGGGGTCAGCATGGCAGGACAGAGACCCAACCTGAGGATTTCTGGAATACCCTGAAACACAAAATCCAGATGAAGGGTATCAAAACCTTGGGGATTGGGGGGGGGGGGGGGAGACTGGTCCACAACGAAATGTAAACTCACCATTGAATTAGTAACACCTTCCTTGCAGAATTGCTTATAGTAATCAAAGTCTTTGTTGTTTGTGTAAGCTTTGACCAAGGTCAAGAACTTTTCCGGGCACTTCTCAACACACATCTGATGAGGAAAAAATAAATAAAATTCAGGGCAGGACACAGTTAAATCAAAAGCATGAGAAGCATTAGCTTGGATGCCAAAAGCAGCACATTAGGAAGCTCAATAAACAGTACAGAGCTGTATACAACTTTAAACAGATCAAGACTGTAATGTTTTTATACTAGAAAAATCGGAATTCAAATCCTCTGCCAAGAGAATGGAGGATGTGAAAGTACATTTGTGGATGATGTGGATTATCACAGAAGAATACATGAGAAGAGAATAGATTTGACACCTGTGTGGTAGGACACTGGAACTCTAGCAGCACCATGGGGCTGGCACACTTCATGATGTTGAAGTAGAACAGCATCCGCTTTTTCCTTTTGAAACAATAACACAAAATTGTGAGAAGAAGAAAATGCTTGCAGGGAGAAAAAGACAAACAGCACCTATCAAAATAAAATAAAAACATGTCATTATACTGTGCACCATAGCAATTTGGTCTTTTTGGCTATCACTCCTTCAACAGGGTAAAGAAATGAGAGGAGCAGTGTCAAGAAACACAAAGGATTATTTATCTGTTTATTAAGTATGTAGGAAAAACAACATTTCAGAGATTTATTCAGTTGCTGCAAAATCCAATGGAATCGAGTCATCCCCTATCCTCTCCTCAATTCATGAGAATTTGTCCAAGAAAGGGTGAGTAATGAGAAGTGTATGTTCATTTGTTTCTCTTGCAATGTTTGTATTCCTTTTCCCCAATAAATATTGACTGGAAATCTTTTTTTAAGAACAAAGGATGATAGATAAGACTCATTTATTTGCTTTCGGCTTTTTTTTACTCAAATGACAGAAAATTGGAGAGGACAATTGGAAACAGTCTGACACAGTCTGTACCTCCATGCAGATAAGATAGCTGAAATGTTATGTGCATAAAGCATGGTGTATTGTGTGGTTCATCTTGTGAAGCTGTTGCGATGGTGAATAATGAATTCAGTCAAAAAGTAGAAACTGCAAAAGTCCTTAAAAATTAATTCAGTACAAAATAGTTTGATTGTTTTAAACTTGTTCACAAGATGAATCGAGCATAGCAAGCCTGCAGTACCCAAAGAGCACTTGGATGTGAATAAAACCCTGCACAGTGCTTCCTCTCCTTTGTTTTCAAATTCAGTAAAACTTTGACTTGTTTCAATTTTGATGAACTCATGATGCTCACAGTGGTCTAAACATTAATGAGTTCATGCTCTCAAAGTAAAAAGAAAAATCATGCACAGAAAGAGGAACAATTATGATCTAAATTATGAACTTGGAAAGAAACTCACTCAAGTGGGGTGCCGGCCTGCCCGCAGAACTGGCCTCGGCTGTCTGTGGGATAAATCACCTTCCTGGGGTCACCCTGGGACCAGGCTGGAAACAAAGAAGATTTTGATAGGCTTCTTTCATTGCCAACATGAGGTTGTATTTTCATACATAAAACAGACTGCTGCTTCTTACTTACCAAGTATTCCAACTGCAATATAACCCAGTATGGCAAGAATGAAGAAGATGCAGCAGACAATGTCCGTGCAGCTCCTAGGATGTAGAGAGCAAAGTTAAACAGAATCATTTGAAACAACTCATACACATTAAAAGCGTCATCTCAATCCTACCTGTTCTGGATTGGGCCCTTGAAGGCCGGGTCATACTTCCTCGGCTCGCCTACGTTAAAAAAAAAAAAAAAAGGGTATTTCTCATTCAGTGAAAAGTTTGCAACACACTTTGCTGAGACTTTACAAGATATTATGCAGAAATATGACAGACTGACTGGCAAAAGTCAATACCAGCTTGACTGTAAAGACACTTTTGATTGATTGGTTATGACCATTTGTTGCTGCCCATGTAAGTAAGATTAGTCCTCAGCAAGAAAATACAACAAATCATATCTACAGCACCTATTCTGTTTGCACATAAAAGCTTAAAGTTTGTGAACACACAAGTCAGTAAAACCATTTCCACAACCTAGAATCTGGACTACAAAATGGGACCAGCAGGCAGAGGTCTAAGTGTTGGGACTGCTGAGAGTGAGGATAAATGACAACTGGCCCACAAGCGTATGAGCAACATAATATAAAAAGCAGAGAAGCACCTTGCAGCCACTGGGTTTTTTTTTTTTTTAAGGGGAGCTTATTTAGGGTTATGACACAGTACCCCTTAGCCCTACCCTCCTTCCTCCCTTTCTTCTGTCAGATGACTTTCCCCCTCCAGCAGACACGCCTGGCTACACAACAAATTCCTCCCTGGTGACTAAGCAGAAGCAGCGATCCCATGCGAAAGACAGCGCCAACATAACAAGGCCAACATCATGTTTCACAAAACGTGTAGTTTGACAAGCCAATAATGTGTTTTTGAAAGATGGATGGCAAATGTTTAATGGGTGTGTGTGTGTGTGTGTGTGTGTGTGTGTGTGTGTGTGTGTTTTTTAAGTGTTTTGAGATGGCATTTGTTCTAAACGTGAACTTTACAAATAAAGACTAATTGTAGTTTGAATAAAGTTTCTTAGGATTTCAGTGATGCTTTGCGAGTTCTCATAATTCCAGAATCAGTCAAAGAGTAATGGTAGCTGCAGGTTATCCGAGTTCAACATGTGATTGGCTGAAGACAGAAAATCCATTATCAAAGCTAATTTATCTTGTGCCGCAGCACAAAACTCCAACAAGGTCAAACTATTTCTAAAGACCAAAGAACACAGGCATTTATCAAAAGTCACAGACTGCTTCCCACTCAGCTCTGACACAAAAAAGTGGTTTTAGACCCAAAATCTCAAAAAGAATAACCATTTAAACACTGACATCACGTTCACTTTGGAACACTTACAAACTGTTATAATGTACTTTTGAGGTTCAGGTTTGCAAACAGTATCCGTGTAGGAATCCAAAAAAAAATAGTTGGGATATTGTAACACCTCAAAGTTCACCAGTTTTGCATTTAAGAATAAGTTTAGCTTCCAAGGCTGACTGACATCAGAGGTTAAATGGCAGCCCTGAGCCCTGGTTCGAATTTAACATTTAGGCAGATTTTAAGGACTTTAAAAACTTGTGCTACAACAGCTTGTATGTACTTGTGTAGCTTCTGAGCCGAAACCCCATAGTCTAGACAAGGGAGGATGGTATTCTCTCTGGCTTATTTGCATTTTAATTATGTATGAGGTCAGATGATAATGCTGCAGGAAGCATTTACCAGACAAGCTTTTCGAGAAGTCCCAGCTTCCTGATAAAAAGATCAATACTGCTCTGTGATGTCTGTATTGTAAGTCTATGGTGCATCCAACTTTAGGCTAGCTTTGCTAAATAAATTCTTGATATGTTGCAATTCCTTGATGAATAAAAAACGAGTTCAAAAAATCTCAAAGACTCAGCTAACATAAGGAAGGCTCAGGTAACTTGAACATAAAGCTGTACTAGGAACATGCAACAGACAGAGTTTTAAAAGTGCTTATCTACACACACAGAGGAGAGATATTTGTGTTGGAGGAAGAACTAATAAAAGCTCTCTGCTCTCACACACCTGTATAATCAGCAGAGCTGCCAGCAGTAGCAGGTTCTCCACTGACACACATTCACACAAACACATACACACACCCATTTTCCCCAACAATGTTGGCATACTGATACTGCAGCTCAGGTTTCACAAAAACACAATTCACAGACCTGATGAGAAAGATTCACCTTTTAAACAGTAAAAACAGCGAAACCCAACGCAAACCAGGAATCCTCAAGTCCTTTCACAGATTGAAACAGAATGAGAGGAAGAAAAAAAAAAGCTGCAAAGCAACATAAACTGTTGGGGAAGCGGTTACCATTCTTTCCAAAGTATTCCTCATCCTCGGGCATGTTTAATTCCTCTCAGGGCCAACTCTTGAAATGTTTCCGAGGAGCCTGTAGACCCTTTTCCCCCAGTATCTGCCTGGTTCACTCTTCCTTCCTTGTCAAGTATAAATGTGCGCGAGCAGGGAGACACAGGTATTGTGGAGGGAGAAACCAGTCCGACCTGTCCTTGAATAGTGGTGTTCCACCTCACTTCAGACTTCCTCTCTCTGTTTATCCTGAAACAAATGCCTCTTTCCAATCTGTGCCCCACCTGTGCATCTGTCTCTGCCTCCTCCCCCTTCCAAGAGACCCCGACCTGTCTTTATTTCCCACTTTTGTGTGTCTCCTAACAGCCGACAAATAGACTGCTGTTGTTTGAGAAAGTCAAGTTGTTTGGACTTAATCAAAACCATGTGTTTGGAGTAAACAGGAAAAGCAACGCCTTGCATTGTTGCCTCTAGTGGCTTTCTGTTTCTATGCTGTGGAGGAGGAAGAGGAGTGATTAGAATCAGGTGGGCAGGCTTTTTTGAGCTGCAAATACCATTATATGTAGTGAGCACACAATAATAAGCTGGAAAATCAACACTTTGTGATGTTATATAATCACCATTCTAACTGTCCTGTGGAGAAACTCAAGAAAGAGCCAATCAAACGTTTGTCCCTGCTCTCAAACCACAAAGTTTTTCTTTTTACCACATCACAAACTGCAGCTCCAATTACAAGTATGAACTTTACTTACAGTACGCATACAAAAATACATTGTCATAAAATTATAAGATCAAGTCTTACACTTTGATCCTCTCACTCGTACATTTATGAAAACCTGCGTCTGTGCACTCTCACAAGAAGTCAATCAAAAATGAAGAACAACAAAATTTGGATTGCGTTCCATAGTTTTGTTTTTTTATAATATAATGAACATGTTTATCTTTCTTTTCTTGTTATACAAGTCAACTAATTACCCATACATTGTTTTTTTATGAATTTAAACTTTTTGGAAGTTGGGAATGAGGCTTTGTCTCAGAGTCTTTTCTGCCATCTAGTGGGGACGTTGCAGTATTCCACTGTAACCAATTGTTTTAAAGACATATGTTTCAGCTTCCTTTTTTTTGTCTTTTTTTTAACTGCTCCCCTTTTTTGTGCCTTCTAGCAGTTTGACGTTTTGATTACTATGTTCTCTGTAATCAACAACTAATGGCAATCAGAACAAAAGAGTTATGTTCCTCTAAAAACAAAGAGTCCTCAGAAGGACTACACACCGAAAATGTTTTTTAGCAGATGCTGGCTGAAACAGAAAATTCAGCTGGAATGACTGAAACTTTCCAACCATTTCGTTCTAGTGTTATGGCCAATTTTCCTTTGTGAGGGAGTTTTTAGTCAGAACCTGGTACTTTTTTGGAGATTTCTTCCACAGTTACACAGCATACAGAAATCAAAACAGTTCCTGCCTCCAGTTCTCGGCCTATCTTTAACAGCCATGTGTGTATATTTTTTTAAACTTTGTTGGGACTGGCAGAAAGCTACTTTGATTTGTGGGAATGTAGAGTGAGTTATGCTGGTAGAAATAACTCACCTTTCTGCTTTATATGTACATTTGTTTGTCCTGATTTAGTTGGCACTGGGCTGCAGTTTAACTCTGTTAAAAAGCCCTGCAAAGGATCTAATCTAATCTTAACAGACCAGCTCTGTGTTACCAGACAGCCCAGAGCATTCTCTAAAGTCATTAAATAAAGAACAATAGACGTTTGCTACGTAAGAGCTTAAAATGTAATCTTAAAATGCAATGCTGATTTTCCAATGAGTCTCTAAAAGAACAACAATTTACAGAGAAACATTCACTATAGTGCTTTGTGTGTTATACGAGGATGTTGAGTATGTTTGCACGTTCATTGGGGTTTCATCATTAAAAAAATGTATTGTCATCGTCATCATTATGAGGGAACAAAGGTGTAGCACACAAAGAGTCCATTAGTCCCATACCCATGTTACCATAAAGATCGCTTGTGTTGTAGTTTACATTTTGTTAGAGAGTTGTGTTTTCGCAAAATGAGAAATGAGAATGAAACACAGCTGGTTTCCTCGCATTGTTTTCTAAAGTTTCTCTTCCTCAAGTTGCAGTATTGACTTCTGTGATATGGTATGTGTTTTGACATTCCTGAATATCTTTGCTTCATTATCTTACCCCACCCTTTCATATCCAAATGTTGAAGAAAGCTGGTTGCCTTAATGTGGACACAGGACTCAATGATTAAAAAAGTGATGGCTGAATACCATTTAGCTACTTTGGGTTCAGGGCATACTGAACACTTGATCTGCAATTCTTATAATGTCATTAGTAACATCTGTGCTTTTCCTATTGGAGAATAGCCAGCTATAAAAAAAGGCAAAAAAAAGTATCTGTATTCTTCATTCCCTCCATGGAAGCAGAAAAAACTCTCAACCACGACAATATGAAAAATCTAATCATATCATAGTTTGAACATCCAGAGACATGACTTGCTAATATAATTAGATTAGTTGTTTGCAGAAAGATAAACAATACTTATATAACAGCAGACATTTTGACAATAACAATGACCTCAAGCAATCTATTACCATATGTTTGGGGTTTTTTTTACACCTGTGACCAGCTGCCATGTCTTCATCCAAGATCTGAACCTTTATGATTGATGTATTTGCAAAAAAAACAAACACATTTTTACACGTGACACGGCTATAATTTTTAACTTCCAGTTCCTAACAAATGAAAGAAGCTTCGATAAGGGTCAACTATAAACTCATAAGCGATACGACAGAGAGATATAAAAGGCTCCAAAAACTGTAAGTGTTGATAAGTGTTGATAGCTAAACAATACAGAAGGCGGACTCTAAGAGCTCCCAGACTGTGGGTTACAGCCCTCCCTTCCCACGCCCCACATCTTTCATTACAGTAAGAGGGTGTGGAGAGTTCAAGTCGAAGTTCAGATCTATTTTAAAAGAACGCTAGGCTACAATCAAACACACCAACCTACTGCATGTATCCACTGTAACAAGTTGTCTCCAAGAAACAACATTTTGTAAATATCTGTCTCATCATATCTACAAGCTACACGACAACATTTTTTTTCAGTATCTTGCAAAGTTTATCTTTGGACATACCACAATTTGACACAATAGCAGGATATGGAACTGTCCTTTACCTTAACTCAATCAGGATGGGACCTTTCTGGCCTCACAAGAATACTCATTCTACATCCTATAAAAGGTCAGGCTCCTGTCTCTGTTGGTACGCCAAGCTATTTCAGTAACACATGTGGCATCAAGTGAAAGTGAAATATAATTCATACAGGACTTATGCCGTCTGAATCATACAGAACTGGACATATTTACTGTCACAAATTGGAAAACAGGATGACACACGGACATTAATTTGTTTTCGGTTTTGATTCCCAGTTAACAAATCGAAACATTCTTCATCAATGAGGAGGGTCAGTCAGATCAGAAGTGACTAACAGAAATTAAACAACAGGAAGTCTCACTGACGGGGTCCTGCTCCCACGTCTAACTGCTCTGTATTTATCTCTCTTCATTCCACCCGAACTCATTTTCCCTGACCTTAATTCTGTGTTCACACAGATCTGAACATGTCTTTGTATTTCAGACTGGCCAGTTGGCAGACACTTAGCAAAGTCACATGTTGTTTGGGTTGTTAGAGTATCATCATGTTGAAAATATAAGCAGGTGGCTGTAATATCTGGGACACTTAAAGCTATGGGACCAATAGCTGCTATTGGACTAGCTGCTATTGGACTCTGAAGACGACTTAAGACGAGTATGAAACTGAACGGGAGAAAAAACATGGAACAGGACAAAATTTAGAAAACACAGCTTGATCTTGCTTTTAAATAAACTGCAGGCACATGAAGGAGAGGTTGGAGAAGATCAGGTTTCAAACCAACTTAAACATGGCTTATAATTACACCTAAACTGCACCAGGGCATGGCTGCCTGACTTCTTCCAATCCTGTCATTGAGGTTTCCTGATATAGCCAGCCCTGAAATTACTCCAACTTCTGAAAATGTGGTGGCTCCTACTGTATGTTCTGAAATGTTCCCACTGGAAAATGTAGAGTTCTTTTTGTTCTTGGCTATATTTTTTTTTTCACAATACCCTTCCAATACAAATGGAAGCAAAAACATAGAAACACTGAAGGAGAAAAACACTGACTGCTGACATATTACTAAACTTGACTAATATTTGTTATTAACTTGTTACTAACTTTTTAGTGTAAAGTTATGGTATAGGACTGGTGCTTTGAGTGGCATTCCTGCTTATGCCACATTCTGCATTTTAGACAGTATCAAACGACAACTCTGAACTCTTGCTGTACAACTCTTTTACTTGTCTGGCTGCCTGTCTGCTTGAGCTCACCAACTCTAGAAATACTCTCAGCTGCACAGAGTATCACAGCTTTCTAATCGCATTGTCCATTTTTTTTTTTTGATAAAGAATGCAAATTTGTTGCAAATTCTACATTTCATTGCAGCTCCAAAATGAGTCTATACTGGAAAACTCTTTTCCCCTTTAAAAAATCCATATCGGTCAATCTGAATGTCATAACCATCCTCTTCCATGGATCTCATTTATGTTGATCCTTTCTGTCTCCCTATTTGCCACCTTGAGTCAAACTGTCTGAGTCCTTTAACATTCTCAAAGTATTTTACAATCTGGCACTAAATGCATTGTGCTTGCCTTCAGTTAGAGGTTGGTAATGGAAGTTAATTAGACAGGCAGGCTGAGTGGGGAAAAAAAATAAATAAGGGTGTGTACAGAGGACAGGAAGCAAACACTGTGTTGGAGCGACATCATGAAAAGTGATGCGCATGATTATGTAATCCTTCTTGTAAACATCCTACAAAAAGTAAACATGCTCCACATGTTGCTGCAAAAAAAAAAAACATGCACTAGATGTAAAATACTAGTTGTCTATTAAACCTGTAAATGTGTACAGTAAGGACTTGTGAGTGTAAACCTGCTGGCTTAACATGCGTTTTTCTCTTGCATGAGCTGATTATTTTTGAAATCATCTGAGTGAAATACACTTTCCCCTAAAACACAAGTTAAAAAAAAAAAAAAGAAGAAGAAGCTGCATATGACGACAAGCAAACAACAGGGCGTGTCATAATATAACACTTACAAATATTTGGGGAGGGAGGGCATAATTACATAGAGGGAACTCAGAAGTGACAATATAAACAACTGAAGACATGCGGTTTCGATTAGGCTCCTTGTGATTGTGTTGCATTTGACTTTTAAAAATCGTGCAGCATATTTCACTACCAAGTGGGAATGAGGGCATCTAGTTGACAAAAGCAGAGCCTCTCTACGTATTTTCTAATAAGCTC